ATGCACACAAAAAATTTGATAAAATTAAGTACTGACTCATGATTATAAATAAATAGATAAATAGATAAATTACTCTTAGCAAACTAGGAATAAAAAGATATCGCTGGAATCTAATAGTTTTTGCCAAAATGATGGGTGGGGAAAGATACTGTTTTTCAATTTGCTTTAACCCTTATAACTTCTCAAGTTGAGATTCTTTTCGTATTTATTAGTCATTTAGGCAGCCTCTCCTATGAATTACTTCTATGTCCATATCCTTTGACTAATTTTCTTTGAGTTGAGTGTATTTTTCTTATAAATTTTAGGCATACTGATAAATTCTGAATACTAATCATTTATATGCATGACAAATGTTTTCTTTCCAGTTTATAGCTTGTCTTTTATTATTACTTTTAAAGTTTTAAATTTATTTGTTATTTATTTATTTATTATGAATGGGTAGTATGTTCACATGAATCAAAAATCCGGAAAATACAAAAGAGCGTACAATGAAAAGTTTCTCTACCACTTCTGGTCTTTCATCCAGTTCCTCTCTCCAGAGGCATTGTGACTTCATTTTTTAAGAACTTTGTTTAAAATGTCATTTGTTGTACAGACATTTTAAATTTTAATGTAGTTAAATGTATCAGTCTTTTCTTTGTGGATTGTGCTTTTAATGTCTTGTTTAGGAAACCTTTCCTCTGCCTCATTAATTTATTCTATACGGTTTTCTAAACTTTTTAAAGTTTAGCTTTTCATATTAAGATCTTTATTCTGCCTGGAATTTATTTTTTGTGTGTGATGTGAGGTAGGGATCACCCTTCCCTCCATATTGTAAAATGACTTGTCCTTACACTCTTACGTTGTGTGATTGTTTTGTCTAATACAGCTTTCAGTGTGATGGGAGACTACTGTTGAGCTTCATCTATGCGTTTGCAAATAAAATTAACTGGGCTAGTTTTTTATTTCTGTTTTGTTCCTACTTGCAGATGAATGCTTAGAGTCCTAATAAGTACTGCCTTTCAAGCTCCATAATGTGCCCTTTTGTCCTCTAACATGTCTGGAATTTGTGTAGGCTGTGATGGGGCAGGGAAAGGAAGGTTACTTTGTCACAACAAACAAGGAGAAAGCTTTTTTCCTGTCTCTTCAATTTACCAATGCCTCATCAGAAGCTTTCAGCACTTATGTAAGAAATTTATTTTTCTTGAACTTGAGCAAACTTAGAGTTTGTTTTAAAATAAGATACTGTGGAGTAGGAAGTTGTTTTTGCTTAAATATAGTATATTTTTCTTTAGTCCTAGGAATCTTTTAAGTTCTTAACCATGTTCCTTGATATTCTCAGCTTTATATTATGGTATTGTTTATTCTGTAGAAAGGGATTTAGTGGGTTTCATGATATGGGGATAATTTAAAAACATAACCCACTGTTTCTGTCTTTTCCATCTCTCATCTTCCATTTTACTTCTTTTTTAACCATTTCTCTCTCTTATATCTTGTCTTACCAGCTGATCCACTCAGAAAAAGTGAGGAAGAGGAAGAAAAAGAACTAGGTTAAAGAAATTAAAGTGAGGCAAAACAAGAGTGAATGATCATGGGAAGGAAGGGGAGAGAAAGCAGAAGGGGAAAAGAAACTGAGATTGCTTATTAGTTATGTTAGGACTCCCAAGGTATCTTTTTCTTATATTTCTTGTGAATAGATAGGGGTAGGCTTAAACTTATTTATTCTTCTACCTGTTCTGCCAATCTAGGAGGAAGCTGACTTGGGGGTGTTGACCAGGTAGAAGGGATTCTGTGAGAAACAATGTAGCTAGGGCTTTGTGTTTCTAGCTCCTTTCTCACTAGTGTATTTGATCCAGTTTAGTGCTGGAGGGTGAACTGTGATTTAAGTTTTGGAATCTTAACTGAGTCTTACTCTGGATATTAATAAAATAAAGATATGGAGGTTACTTGTGTGTATGTGTTTCTATTTCAGGAATATAATGGGTGCTATTCATGTACATTTATATGTTAGAACTAATTTGATCTGAAATCTATTTTTCAGAATTAAAAGTGATGTGAAGTCCATAAAATGATAGTTTAGACCCAAGAAATTATAAGACTCTTTTCAGTGCTAATGCATCTCATGATTTTCTGGCTCTCTCAGTAGAGTAGTAATTTCTCATTGGCAGTGATTATAAACAGTAGTTTTATATTGACTGTTTTTTGACTGAAATAAGCTAACATTAAAAAAAAAGAGGCTTTGTTAACAGTTTAGGATGAAGTTGCTTTTGATTTTAATTGGCTTATATTATAATCATTGGCATCTTTTTTTATAATTTTATTTTATTTTATTTTTTTTTAAAGATTTTATTTATTCATTTTTTTCCCCCCAAAGCCCCAGTAGATAGTTGTATGTCGTAGGTTCACATCCTTCTAGTT